GTGTAAATAAAATGGCCCCGTCCGTGTTATATATTTTTAAACTTTTAGTTTAAAAATGATACAAACTAAACAGACTACAATAATTTTAGTCTTTACTTTACAGTTAAAATGTTTATTAAATAAATTCTAATGTTACAACTAATCGTGGATCCCTTTAAAACCACAAATATAACCAACATACAAGCCTAGTTTGTTGCTTCTGTCAGTGCGATAAGTGAAACCACAAACTCAGCCAAAAAAATAAAATAAATAAAAAAAACCATCCCCAATGAAACAAAATTCCTTAAAACTCCTTCAGTATCCAAGTGAAGTTGGAGTGCTTTGCATACAGCTTCACACCAAACCCTGGACTTTATATACTCACTGGCTCTGGRCTCTCTGTAGAAACCACAGCCTGAGTTTCTGCTTTTACCTGTGGCTCTACTGCTTGAGTCTGTTTCAGAGCAAGGACACACTGAGATGTAAGCCAGAGCTCTCGCTCTACAAACGGAGGGGATGTGATATATTTGAACAATCACAATCTCTTCATAAATGACTTACGGTTCCGTCCAGGTTGGCTGGAGATGAGCTACGAGGGCCCATCATGTCTGAAAGAGGAGGGAGATGGGCGTTAAAAGCAGGACGAGACCAACCTCTGAACTACAGGAAACACAGGAACTGTAAAATACAGTATAAATAAAAAAAATTGCAAACATACCCATTCCAGGGATGTGTTTGTTTTCAGGGTAACAACTGTGTGGATCCGACGGAGGACGAGGACCTGAGGAGAGAAGAGAAAATAAAATTGAAGATGACACCTGGACATGGTGTTTAACAAAACAAAAACTGTTAMAAAGTTTCAAACAAACTTTTTCATTCTTCTTGACTTGATTCTGCTTTTAAACACAGGAAAGTACATCTAAGGCTATGTTCACACTGTATGGTGCAGTATGAGGGCCATAATTACCTAATTTCCCTCTGGGATCAATAAAGTATTTTTGAATTGAATTGAATTGAATAATTAAGACTATTGCGCAACCAGCAGTCGCTACATTCTTGTAGCAGGAGGCTATATCTATTCCTAAACCAGCTATTGATACGATTAATGATAGGYCGCCACCGCTAACYGAGCAGCTGGACCCACTAACTCAGTGKTTCCCAAACTTTTTGTCTTCTGACCCACAAAATATCCATGGCTTAAACTTGTGACCCCAAATATTACTGGTCTGAGTACACGAACTTCATTAATAACCCTAAAAACACAGGCCTTTTGACAATATAAACAGTTTGTACACAAAT